TACTGGTGAAACACCTAATTATTCATTCCCTTGTATTCATCAGTAGATCAGCAATCGATTGTTCGATCTAGAAGTTGTCTCTCAATAATCGTCTCCTTATTTAAAATTATTTTCTGAAATTAGAAATCCGTAGATATCCTGTTTCAAAAAACAACACCTTTAAAAATTTTTTTTTTTAGTTTATTTAAAAAATGCACAACAAAATGCTGACTGTGCAATTTTCTGTTGTTATATTTTTAATGCCTGATGTAATCTTATTGAATTCTTCTTTTAAAGTCGCAAGCGACTATACCGTCAGATCGAAAAAAAAAATAATGCGATGGGGAAATTCCGATCTATTTTTAGCCGTAGATACTGAAGCTGTGTTGTATTGATTTGCTGGATAACAGACGCGTGTAGCAGATGTGGGTGGGGTGTGTCCAGTTTTAATTCAATCAAACTTACACGGGAGGGTAATGGGTACACAGGAGGGTCAAGATTGGCGTCTAGATGTTGATGTGTCTAGATGTTGATGTGTCTAGGTTGAGATGTGTCTAGATGGATACATATCACCAGCTTAGATCTAGACAAGTGATTGTTACAGTTTCTGTGACGTAATTACATTATGGATCGTTTACCGTGTGATTAATACTTTTACCTCATTGTTTCCGTGGATGTTTATTTCCGACGTCGCGGTAATTTCCGACAGGTAGGAAAGCTAGATTAATGTGGATTATGTTCACAATTTTGTGATTGATAAACGTTAACATCGATTATCTGCATACTCATGGTTAATGAAAGATAGCGAGAAGGATTAGTTGTTCATTAGATATCTTTACTGGTTTATGTAATGGTACAAATTTAAAACGGTATCTTTAAAAATATGTTTTCTATAGCGACTTTCTATAAAATGTTTCTAATTATATTATTCGATTAGTATTTTTTTTTTCTTAATACCTATGTGTAATAAAGAACTTCTAACACAATGTGAATGATAAAACGAGGCATTTGAACATTTGTTCATATAACAGGCGTTATATCGATAAACGATTCAGGTTAGCAAATAATAGCTGGCAAATAATGGATAGTAAATAAAGGCTGTAACCGATAATGAAGCAAAAAAGACATTGTTCGATATAACATTTTTAGGCGAAATCTTTACCTAACTTATTTCAGGACAATGTAAATTTTAAAATTCCCGCAAATATTGAATATTTTAAACTTGTGAACATGAGGTCCATAATTCATCTAGCTCGTCTAGCTCCTATATACCCTCGCATTTTAAAGGCACACCTACGTGTTCATTGACTACCATTTTGTTACGAAGGGTTCTAGTTCGGGGAGTTTGATGATCAATTTCAAATCTTTTGCTGAATGCGCACAATTTGATTGGTTGATAAAATCAAAACAAGGGTGTCACGTGTGCCTTTGGGCTATGTTCGCATTCGTGTCCAAGGGAGGTAATTGTATTAGGCGACGTCAGTTTTTCAGGGGATGTAACTGTTTTTAGGGAGCGTGTTTCATTGATGTAACTGTTTTTAGGGAGCGTGTTTCAAGGGATGTAACTGTTTTTTGGGGCGTGTTTCAGGGGAAGTAACTGTTTTACCGTAAGTGTTACGTGATATAACTGTTTTAGAGGGGTAACTAGTTCTTTGATACAATTCTTTTACTGGGGTTAGAAGTTTTCATGTTTTGGGGAGTGCATAAGTTTCTTATTTTATCCCCCTTTAATGTCTTATTTAATTAAATTAGCGTCACATTATTTCTGCAAGAACATTGCTGTCACATGTTTCATAAAATAAGCATCAAATATTGAACCCTTTCATGTGTAAAGAATTAGAGTACATCCCAGAAATGTGACCCCCCCGGGCACACGAAGACTCGCCGGTTGACTCACGTTGAGTCAGCCGGTAAACAAGGCGACACCAGGCTGTAAGCACTCACCCACACCATCTGTTCCCACTCACCAGACGCACGTGCAATCGATATCCCCACACACACACACACCGCACACAACACTCGCACACCGTCACGCCTCACTGCAAGCGTGTGGTGTTTTAAAATTGTTTCACGGCTATCCGGATTAAAGTTTAATACTTAATCCTAACTGACGAACAAATTAGTTAGCGTATTGTGACATGAAGATTAAAAACTGACCTGAAACTGTTGAATCGATTATTCATTTTATTATCGATACCCTAGAACACGCTGTAGTTTTTTTACATTGAAGTTACATGGATTTGATAACAGATGGTGCGAATACGATTCCACGTGAATGTAGAAATTCAATATGGGATAAATCATAATAGTGGTAACACCATTGTATAGAATGTTTTATAAAGTGTAAAACGTGGTTATAATAACAAGATATCTATGTGTTTGTGTCTGTGTTTTTTATCTGTGTTAATATTAGCATTTTTTTTAGCTAGGCGGGCAAATGTAGTTAGATACACTTCAAGCTGGGGAAGACATAATTTTCTAACGAACACTGTGTAGTGACTACAAGCAATGTGTGTCGGTGTCACCCCCCACCTCCCCCATAGCTAGCACTGTGTAATGACTGCAGCAACGTGTGTGTGTGTGGGGGGTGTCACCCCACCCCCACCCCACCCCCCTAGCTAGCACTGTGTACTGACTACAAGCAATGTGTGTTGGTGTTACCCCCACCCTCTAGCTAGCACTGTGTAGTGACTACATCACCGTGTGTGTGTCGGGGGGGGGGCACCCCACCCCCACCCCCACCCCCCTAGCTAGCACTGTGTAGTGACTACATCACCGTGTGTATCGGTGTCACCCCACCCCACCCTACCCCCCTAGCTAGCACTGTGTAGTGACTACATCACCGTGTGTGTCGTTTCACCCAGGATGAATCCTATCAGTGTGTCGCCAGTTGAGTTGTCAGTGCCGTCTAGACTGTGACAGATATGTTATGACACTGATAAGGATTAGGATACGTTACGTTTGATAAATGTTACATACAACCCCCCCCCCCCCCCCAACACACCCAACCAAACTCTGAGGAGATGTGTCAACCAGTCTTAAAGATGTGTAGGCGTTTTATATTTTGTATCCTCTCTGTTATCAGTAGAGAAAGTAGAAACGGGATGTTAAAAACATTTTATAACGTTAGTTTGGGTCGTAAGGTGTTGTGATGTATGGTGTTGTGTTGTGTTGTATTGTGTTGTGTTCCGTTAGGTTAAGTTAGGTTAGGTTAGGTTAGGTTAGTTAGGTTAGGTTAGGTTAGGTTAGGTTAGGTTAGGTTAGGTTAGGTTAGGTTAGGTTAGGTTAGGTTAGGTTAGGTTAGGTTAGGTTAGGTTAGGTTAGGTTAGGTTAGGTTAGGTTAGGTTAGGTTAGGTTAGGTTAGGTTAGGTTAGGTTAGGTTAGGTTAGGTTAGGTTAGATTGGTGTGTGTATGTATACATATGTATATATTTATATAAATATGAGGTTCAGACTTGTTAGTTTGTTCCTTGTGCCGGCAGAAAACGCTACACCTCTGTATCAAGATTTAGTTGTTTTTTTTTATCAGCACACCGTTTACCTTCACGCAAATCTAGGGATGGGTATAGGAGTCGTTTGTCGGGGGTCGGGGGGGGGGGGGTAATCTGTTGGACGGGAAACCCCGGGGTCTTGTGACATAAGCCACAAGCCGGAAACAGATGTAACGCGCTATTTCCGCTGCAGTCACGTTGCATTTGGGGATTCGTCAAGGGAAAACGCGTCATAATCGATGTAAACTTAATCATATTCGTCCAGTTGTCACAGATGAACGTTAGCCAACTTGTTGCAAATTATTTTTTTTTATGTATTGGTAATCTATCGCCATTTATTTATTTATTTATTTTTGGTGGATTGCATGTCTTTTCTTCGCAATAGTACTTAGTTGATGCGGGAAAACATTTGATATTTTTGGAAATATTTTGATATTTTTGGAAATAATTTGATTACTTCTTGAGTCTCCGAAAAAGTTGTGTTTTTAATATTTGGAAAGTGTTCTTTAGTCAAAATGCTTTTTCTTATTAGGGAGGATAGTCTGAGTGATTTTAAGATTACAAAAACAGATGGAGTGCAGTACCATTTTGTTGTGTTTTCAGTGCGTGTTAGATCACAGCATTATAACTGACAAAAAATTGTGCTGAATGTTCTGAACTTGGAATAATGAGTCTAAGCAGAGCGAAGCAGAAGCTGATTGGCTCGTTTTCAAAACGGAAAAAATTGAAATCCGTCCCCATTGACCTTGACATTCCGCCTCCGTTACCAAAGTCAAGGCCACCGATTCCAGACTTCTCCCCGCGCGATGAGGAAACAGTGTACCTCGTGTCTTCTACGTCACTTCCGTCTCTACCCACCCAGTCTCCGACCTCGGACATGCAAACATGCAGGTCAGCCTCCATATCGTCGCTCGACCACGCCCACCAAAGTGTTTTCCGGTTCGATGAAGCGGCTACCCTCGGCTACACTACGGGTCAGATGTGGCCGATAGACGAAACAGCAACTTCATCATACTCTATCTCAGCACATCAACCTAGTCCCTATGGTCATCAACTTAGTCCCACCGAACATCAACACAGCCCCGCCTCCTATCAACATAGCGGCTCTGTTTATCAACACGGATTATCAACTCACCCAAGCCAAGCTCCGCCCTTACCTACGTCATGGCCCCTACGTGATATCGCTAACACGCTTGAATTCCAAGCGTCGACCGGGCAATGTACCACAGACCATCAGAAAACTCCAAGTACCCCAAAATCATTCACCACCAATTCTCACACCGCCACCACCCCTCCTGCATGTGTAAAAGAAAAAGTCTTATCCATTCATAAAGGTCACTACACGCTGCACGACAGTTCAAGCGTGAGTACTCCACCGGTCAATGGATTAAGGTACCACAACACCACGCAATTTCCCACCGACGATGTGTTCCCATCTGTTTCGTCTGGCGGTTCTGACGTAACTAGTTCGTATAATGACAATGTTTTCGAAACTGATTTCGAGAGGGAAAATTCTAAAGATGAATTCGGAATGGGACGCTTTACAGTATCTAGTCTTTCAGCTGGTGTTAGTGGTAGTACTAGCACCAATTTTCCAGAAACTCGCATTGGAGAAACATTGTATGGAGAAACGGAATCAGTCGAAACGACAGATGCTCAGAAATTAAACGATTCTTTTTCGGAATTGCCTAAAATTCCCCGGATGGACAGTTCGGTTTTGAAAAAAGTTCAGTTTTTCGAGAATTTTTTCGACTCCAGTCCTACGCTCAGCCCAGGGGTCAGTCCAGGTGTGACGAAGAACGTCACGCCGCCGTCGTCTGCTAACCGATGTCTCTCGCCTGACACCGTTCAGACAACCCGCTCCGGAAAAGGTCACCGGAAACAACTTTCGTTATGGGTCAGCCCGAGTTCGAAAGCCGTCGAGACGGTGTCTAACTCGTGTAGACTGAACCCTCTGGTCGAGACGGCATCGAACCCTGTTAGACCGAACCCTCTGGTCGAGATGGTATCGAACCCTGCTAGATCAAACCCCCTGAAAACTGGTTTAGCACCAAGAGTCTCCCAAGACTCAAGTCTTCGACTGAACTTCAGCAAGTTCCGGAGGTCGGAATCCATCCCGGAAGCAGCCATCTTATGTACCTGTGGGGAGATTCGCGAGACAAGTTCAAGGCCGTCGTGTTCGTGTGCAATGGATTACCCTGATCCCAGCGGATATGTTAATGGATTTGTGACGTCACCTACACAACAGGTAAACGAGGTCGTTAGATTTTGGTTAATTACTCACCTAAACGTAAACCAAGTCTTTTGTTAACTTATACATGTAAAGTGGGGTTTGAAGATGAAAAATACGTTCATGCCTTTCAGAATTATTGCGTTCCGGTAGTTCATTTTTAATTCCACAGGTATAGAAATAGTGTTAGAATTATTCTAGTGCTAAACGTCATTACTATGCTTAGGGTTAGCCTAAGCATTTGCTTGATGACTAGCCACTATACATAAATTATACAGGATAACGCGATTAAACCTGCAGATCAAATATATTTCTCTTTAAACTACCATCATCATTTCCCTTTTGTACACAAGACACATGGGGCCGTCACAGAAAGCTCCCTCAGCTTTTGTCGGTCACCAGCAAATTTTCCTGGCAGTCCCCCATGACAGTGCTGCCTCTGCCAGCTGCTTCCCCACATCTCCGTTGGCCTTCCTGCTTCCATTTTTCTTGAGGCGTCCAGTTTAGCGCCATTCCTGCGATATCATCTGGACTCGTTCATAAGACGTGCCACATCCAGCGCCATTTTCTTTTTCGTTGTTTTGGGGAAACTGCTTCCATTTCCATCTCTCCTTGTAGTCTCGTTAGAGCTGGTGTTGGGTCAGCAGATTAGTGTCGAGGTCGGGTGTCACCCCCCCCCCCCAGAGGCGTAGCACCCCCGTTCAAACTTTTTTCTTCTTCTTCTTCTTCGTTCTTAATTATTAGTGTTGAAGGGGATCGAGATTTATCTGCCAGTGGGTTTGAACTCGAGACTTTGTTCGAATTTATCAACCATGTGCTTTTTTTTTTTGCCGACTCGGCCACGCCTCCAACACAGTTAAGCGTTACGTGTCAACTGGTTATGCGCCATTGAGGCCATTGACTCCGATTTCAGCCTGCTTTTCTTTTTGGATTTGCTTCCATAGCCTTTGTCCAACCAAGAACAATCTACAAGGCAGCAGTTGTTTAATTTTGGATTTGTCTCTCCTAGAAGAGTGGCTGTCCCCAGCTAACGAGCCTCATCCGCCCGAGGGTTCGAACTCGAGACTTTTCGGTTTAGCAACCATGAGCTTTACCGACTCGACCACGCCGACCCCCTGTTCAAACTTTTGATTTGCACCTTCGCCCCGCCCCTCCCCCCCCCCCCCCCCCCCCCCATCGTCAAACTTTCGATTTGCACCTCTTAAAACACTATTTCACACTCGAATGAATCACTTATTTAAGTGGAATTATCATTTTTCTCTATATATTTTGCTATTTTTGGCCTTAGTGTCACCCTCCTAAATGGTGTCACCCGGTGCGGTCCGCACCCCCGCCCCCCCCCCCCCTCTCGCTACGCCTCTGCAGTAGATGTCTTTTATCTTTCGCAAACATTTAGTTTGGGCAGAGTCCAGTGATCTGCTGGTGGCCGTTGTTACTTTCCAGCATTCGTTGAGGTCATTTTGTTTAAAGTTTGCAATTGGTATTGGACTAATTGGAGGATATTTTATTCGGTAGCAAGGCTTGCCTAGTTGTTTAGATGCGTGTTTTAATTTCAGGGATACAGTCTCCTTCATAATTGACAATGCTTCCTAAATAACTTTAAGCCATAAAACATCAAAGTTTATTGTTATAAATGCACATGGACATCACGATGTAATAGTTATCTATTTAATACCTTATGGATTTAGTTTTTGTCTCTAATGCCAAATTCGATATGATACGTCGCTTAGTCTGATTTTGTCCATTTCATTTTCTACTTCACTATTGCGTGTACTTGCGCGTGTGCGAGTGTGTGTGTGCATATGTATGTGTGTGTGTGTGTGTGTGTGTGTGTGTGTGTGCATGTGTGCTTTGTTAAAAACAGTTAAAATGGTTTTACGTAAATAATAATTTTATAGCTACTTCCCATGTACAAATTTATTTTAAATAAGGGAGACAATTACTAGCAATGTTAAAAAACGGGGCTAAAGAGTCATATGTTGCTTACTTTTCAATTAAAACAGAAGTTCACTGTCTAATATTTAATTAAAATGAATACGCTTATTATGGTATGAATATTTTTATATAGTTTATATTAAGTCGAAGGAATTATATTAGCATATAACTATATTTTAAATAGCGAACCAATAGCTTTATGGAATACATAATTTTACATACTGGAAGGTTCATGTTAATCACAGTTACTTTTAATTTGATAGTCTGTCTATATGCTTTTCTTAAAAATCCCTAATCTATCACAGTTCAACCTACCCAGCCAAATTGCCATGTAATTACACAATTGAATATTCAGGTTAAAAAATTAAATTGCTATTAGACGTTTTGTATAATATATAAATAAACCATCTTAAAAGAATGAAAGCACATGTCAGAAACACGTATTACTATTGTAAATCTGAATCAGTCCTGACCAACCGATGATGAAAACTAAAGCGAATATGACAAGGCAAACTGACGCTATAATTGCTGTAAATTACATGTCTGAGGCACACAAAAAAAAGAATAATAAATTACCTTCTGGATCCATGAGCAAGATGGCGACTTGCCGATCAATTCAGGTGTGAGTTAAACAGGTTAGGCCTATGCTTTCTAATCATCGTTCAGAAGTTAAAGAAACAGAAGTTAGAGAAACAGTTTTTAATTATTACAAACCTTGGCATAGTCGAATGGATATATATATATATATATATATATATATATATATATATATATATATATATATATATATATATATATATATATATATATATATATATATATATATATATGTATATATATATATATATATATATATATATATATATATATATATATATATATATATATATATATATGCTGCATGGTGATGGATACCCAACTCACGTTAGGGAAAGTAAAGGTGGCTGGACATAGTGCCAAGGTCACTGGTGAACTCTACTTCATTTTAAAAAAGGTGAAACACTACATCAACAAAATAAACAATTAAAAAATGTATCTACTGGATAACGACGGTAGGCGTGGCGATGGTACCAGTAACGTGGACATCAATAGAAATGTTTAATCTTTTAACAATTACCCTCCACGATTTTTTCTAATTGTTGTCCTCTGTATCTTATTATGTCTAGTCAATAGCTTGTTGTTCCTTAAGGACTTTAGCCGCCGCCATCATCCATCGGGAATGTTCGGTTCTGGTATAGTTTATTCCACTGCCCCCAGTGGTAAAACATTTTCTTGCACTAGTTCTTCCAACTGCCCCCAGTGGTAAAACATTTTTTTGCACTAGTTCTTCCAACTGCCCCTGTGGTAAAACATTTTCTTGAGATATTAATTCAACTGCCCCTGTGGTAAAAAATTTTCTTGAGATATTAATTCAACTGCCCCTGTGGTAAAAAAATTTCTTGAGATATTAATTCAACTGCCCCTGTGGTAAAAAATTTTCTTGAGATATTAATTCAACTGCCCCTGTGGTAAAAAAATTTCTTGAGATATTAATTCAACTGCTCCTGTGGTAAAAAATTTTCTTGAGATATTAATTCAACTGCCCCTGTGGTAAAAAAATTTCTTGAGATATTAATTCAACTGCCCCTGTGGTAAAAAATGTTCTTGAGATATTAATTCAACTGCCCCTGTGGTAAAACATTTTCTTGAGATATTAATTCAACTGCCCCTGTGGTAAAAAATTTTCTTGAGATATTAATTCAACTGCCCCTGTGGTAAAAAAATTTCTTGAGATATTAATTCAACTGCCCCTGTGGTAAAAAATTTTCTTGAGATATTAATTCAACTGCCCCTGTGGTAAAAAATTTTCTTGAGATATTAATTCAACTGCCCCTGTGGTAAAAAATTTTCTTGAGATATTAATTCAACTGCCCCTGTGGTAAAAAATTTTCTTGAGATATTAATTCAACTGCCCCTGTGGTAAAAAATTTTCTTGAGATATTAATTCAACTGCCCCTGTGGTAAAAAAATTTCTTGAGATATTAATTCAACTGCTCCTGTGGTAAAAAATTTTCTTGAGATATTAATTCAACTGCCCCTGTGGTAAAAAAATTTCTTGAGATATTAATTCAACTGCCCCTGTGGTAAAAAATTTTCTTGAGATATTAATTCAACTGCCCCTGTGGTAAAAAAATTTCTTGAGATATTAATTCAACTGCCCCTGTGGTAAAAAATGTTCTTGAGATATTAATTCAACTGCCCCTGTGGTAAAAAATTTTCTTGAGATATTAATTCAACTGCCCCTGTGGTAAAAAATTTTCTTGAGATATTAATTCAACTGCCCCTGTGGTAAAAAATTTTCTTGAGATATTAATTCAACTGCCCCTGTGGTAAAAAAATTTCTTGAGATATTAATTCAACTGCCCCTGTGGTAAAAAATTTTCTTGAGATATTAATTCAACTGCCCCTGTGGTAAAAAAATTTCTTGAGATATTAATTCAACTGCCCCTGTGGTAAAAAATTTTCTTGAGATATTAATTCAACTGCCCCTGTGGTAAAAAATTTTCTTGAGATATTAATTCAACTGCCCCTGTGGTAAAAAATTTTCTTGAGATATTAATTCAACTGCCCCTGTGGTAAAAAATTTTCTTGAGATATTAATTCAACTGCCCCTGTGGTAAAAAAATTTCTTGAGATATTAATTCAACTGCTCCTGTGGTAAAAAATTTTCTTGAGATATTAATTCAACTGCCCCTGTGGTAAAAAAATTTCTTGAGATATTAATTCAACTGCCCCTGTGGTAAAAAATTTTCTTGAGATATTAATTCAACTGCCCCTGTGGTAAAAAAATTTCTTGAGATATTAATTCAACTGCCCCTGTGGTAAAAAATGTTCTTGAGATATTAATTCAACTGCCCCTGTGGTAAAAAATTTTCTTGAGATATTAATTCAACTGCCCCTGTGGTAAAAAATTTTCTTGAGATATTAATTCAACTGCCCCTGTGGTAAAAAATTTTCTTGAGATATTAATTCAACTGCCCCTGTGGTAAAAAATTTTCTTGAGATATTAATTCAACTGCCCCTGTGGTAAAAAATTTTCTTGAGATATTAATTCAACTGCCCCTGTGGTAAAAAATTTTCTTGAGATATTAATTCAACTGCCCCTGTGGTAAAAAAATTTCTTGAGATATTAATTCAACTGCCCCTGTGGTAAAAAATTTTCTTGAGATATTAATTCAACTGCCCCTGTGGTAAAAAAATTTCTTGAGATATTAATTCAACTGCTCCTGTGGTAAAAAATTTTCTTGAGATATTAATTCAACTGCCCCTGTGGTAAAAAAATTTCTTGAGATATTAATTCAACTGCCCCTGTGGTAAAAAATTTTCTTGAGATATTAATTCAACTGCCCCTGTGGTAAAAAATTTTCTTGAGATATTAATTCAACTGCCCCTGTGGTAAAAAAATTTCTTGAGATATTAATTCAACTGCCCCTGTGGTAAAAAATTTTCTTGAGATATTAATTCAACTGCCCCTGTGGTAAAAAATTTTCTTGAGATATTAATTCAACTGCCCCTGTGGTAAAAAAATTTCTTGAGATATTAATTCAACTGCCCCTGTGGTAAAAAATTTTCTTGAGATATTAATTCAACTGCCCCTGTGGTAAAAAAATTTCTTGAGATATTAATTCAACTGCCCCTGTGGTAAAACATTTTCTTGAGATATTAATTCAACTGCCCCTGTGGTAAAACATTTTCTTGAGATATTAATTCAACTGCCCCTGTGGTAAAACATTTTCTTGAGATATTAATTCAACTGCTCGAAGTTACCGTGTGTAAATGTGCATTTTTTTTTATTACTGGTAAAGAACATAAATAGATTTGTAAGATAAAACTGGATGCTTTTAACAAAAATAGTATTTACTAGAACAAGTTATTCTTATAAAATCGAAAATAGAAAATCTGGGAATCGTGTCTAGAAAATGTTTTTGTATTTCTAGCTTATAAAACTGTATACTAATCAACATTCCATAATTATGTATTTAGGTAATTGATAAAAATGTAATTATTATTTTAAGTCTTATATCTGCTAACGAATATCGTTTCATTAATTGATGCTTGAACGTACAACAAAATTTACGACACTTTAATAAACAATTATTATACCTTGATGCTATTAGCTAAATTAAATTTATAAACGTTTACTATTTAACATTGCTAATTAAGTTATGTTTTAACGTTTTATATGTAGTCATGTTTACCATGACAGCACGTTATAAAATTGGTGAATGTAGTCATGTTTGCCGCTAAATGTAGTTACATTTGCCGCCAAATTTAGTTACATTTGCCGCCAAATTTAGTTACATTTGCCGCCAAATTTAGTTACATTTGCCGCCAAATTTAGTTACATTTGCCGCCAAATTTAGTTACATTTGCCGCCAAATTTAGTTATATTTGCCGCCAAATTTTGTTACATTTGCCGCCAAATTTAGTTATGTTTGCCGCCAAATTTAGTTACATTTGCCGCCAAATTTAGTAATATTTGCCGCCAAATTTAGTTATATTTGACGCCAAATTTAGTTATATTTGCCGCCAAATTTAGTTACATTTGCCGCCAAATTAAGTTACATTTGCCGCCAAATTTAGTTATATTTGCCGCCAAATTTAGTTATATTTGCCGCTAAATTTAGTTACATTTTCCGCCAAATTTAGTTATATTTGCCGCTAAATTTATTGGAAAATATATCCCTGGGCAGATGAGGCTCGTTACCTGGGGACAGAAACCCGTCTAGGGGAGAAAACACAAATATCAAACAACTGCTGGCTTGTAGTTTGTTCTTGGATGCACACATTGTATGTCAGCAATACTAGACAGTGGGGCGGGCTGAAGTCTAAGGGTGATATGACACATAACATGTTGACATGATACACTTGTGTTGGATGGAATCCCGTCCAACAACACAATGGAGAAGATGATGATCCCGTGTAATCAGGCTGATTAGCGTGAATTGAATGACACAAGGATTAGATCCAACATAGTCCAATCGATCCTCAATCTACTCACAATTAAACGTATCGACTGATTTGATAACAATCTAGACATGCGCAGTTAACTGGAAAAACACGTAAACAACACAACACATAAGTTTGTCCGCTCTAAAATATTTTCTTTGTTCAAATGTTCATGAACTAAAATCTATTTATGTTTCACTTTACTGAACTCAGGGTTTTTTTCTAGTGTAGTAACTATATTGTTGCTCTTGTCAAGACTGCCCATACTAAACTTTGTTTTTATTGATAATGGACCTACTCAAATCTTCTTTTCTCAAGTTGACCACTAGTCTTCGCACCCATGACCCCATGACTCCTCACGGCAACGCATACCGACCCCTCATCCGACCCCCCTCATCACGACATATTTCTTGATACCCCACCCCGACCCTTTTCACGACCCCTCCTTAAACCCCTCTTCATAACCCCTGCATACGATCCCTCCCTCCCGACGAACAGAATATCTGTCTCTCAGTCCTGACTTGAAAAGATTTAGCCACGTGTTTATCCTTCTCCACATATTGTAAAACACACAACACAGGCTAGTATAACACTTCATATAACGTTAATCTTACTTAAACTGGTCGCAGGATAGTATAACATTTGATATACCGCAGGATAGTATAACATTTGATATACCGCAGGATAGTATATTTTTTAAATACAGTACTTCTTAAAATTGTCACAGGATAGTATAACATGACATCGCATGTATGTAGAACACAGATCCATAGAACAACAACTCATATCGTTAAGGCTGATTACATGTGCACTAAATGCATTAGGTGAAACCTTTTGTGTTAGAAGCTATTGTGTGGTTTATGTTATTATAGGGGTTACTGTTAGGGTAAACCTTATGACTAGTTAAAACCTGCTGGTGTTCTATAACCAAAACCTAACATATAGAGTGTCTTGTTTTGTCTTACTTTATCGATTGGATCCAAATCTGTGTCGTAAATGGTTATTTTTGTACATGCATTGTGGCATTTCTATATTCCTTATAACATGCTAGTAATGTCAGCACACAATAAATCCTATACATGTACATCCATTCATTCAGTCATAGACTACATACACAAATATAAAAAACAAGATCTGTTCAGAAATCGTATTCATGTTTATATGTATATTTTTACTTCATGAGTACCATACAATGTTTATATTTCTGCTTCAGATCTGCCATACAATGTATATATATATATATATATATATATATATATATATATATATATATATATATATATATATATATATATATATATATATATATACGTCTGCTATCAATTTTCTATTTCTGCTTCAGGTCTGCCACCACCCACAATGTATGGAGGGAAACGGTGACCTCCCTTTGTTGCTATGTCGACCATGTGACCTTGACATCCACAAGCAGCCCGAATACAATGGACATCTCGTACTGGACAGTCTTAAAAAACGTGAGTTGGTTTCATTAACACACCCCAATCTCTTTTCACCACATGTCGACCCCCACCACAACCACAAATGTGGGGTGGGCTTAATCCCCACCCTCCTATAATATATTTTAATTGCTACCCACACAATATGCTCTTGTTTAATCCCCCTTGGAACTATACCATTGATATACCATTGATATTCTATTGATATTTTTTGTGTATTATATTCTCAGTTCTACTAGTAAACTACATCCCCATACCTGATCCAAAGTGTTGTACCCCCCCCCCCCCACTAGATATAGTTGTACCGACCAACTCTAACACTTTGTTAATTAGAATACTGAGTTCGAATCCAGGCAGGTACATGTTAGGGAGGGGGGTAATAAATTGTTTATTTGTTTTTTAGTCATATCATACAACTTGCAAATTAGAGCATTTATTTTAAGGTATACAACCACACACGCAAACACACACACACATGTATATATATAATGTGTGCGTGTGCGTACGTGTGTGCGTATGTACGTGTGTGTATGTGTACGTGTGTGTATGTGTGTGCTAATCAGAACGCCCTCTATCTTCCACAAACCAGGTGGGCCAGTAGTTAAAGCACCTGTGACGTCGCTATCGAACGAAGGTGAGAGTGACAGCGACACCCCAGACACACCCCACAACCTCAGCGACACTCCAGACACACCCCACAACCTCAGCGAGGATCAGGTGGACGGGCTCTTTGTCAAACACAACTCCAAGTTCAGGTCAGTGCAAGGTCATCAGGTCTATGACCTAACTTTAACACAACTCCAAGTTCAGGTCAGTGCAAGGTCATCAGGTCTTTGACCTAACTTTAACACAACTCCAAATTCAGGTCAGTGCAAGGTCATGAGGTCTATGACCTAACTTTAACACAACTAAAAGTTCATGGCACTGAAAGGTCATGAGGTCTACGACCTAACTTTATCAAACCAACTCAAAGTTCAGGTCGGTTCACAGCACGATGTCAATGACCTAAGGACCTTTACTTCCTCGCTTAACTCGTTTAATTAATTAAGGGGTGGACTTTATTAATTACAACTTTTTAAAAGTTAATGTGTTTTAGAAAATACGGACCATTGTTTCTTGGCTTAAATAATGCATCTGTGCATTAATTAAACTGCACTGAGATTATTTAAAGGTATTATTCGACGTTCTAATGAGTTTTGAATTTTAAAAAGTAATATAACTTGAAATACAATTTTTAAAAACTATTTAACTTACTAAGACCTTGGATCATGAGCCATCTAAATCCCGGGTATACCACATACATTTTTTTGATCTGCTCATGAAATTAATAGCATATCCTCTGTATGTTAAGTTTAAATTGTTGTTCTCTTAATTATCAAATTATTAAACTAATCACTCTTAAACCAAAATATTTTATTGAATTAATTACATTTTTCTCCAAAGTTACTATATTTACAACCAATAGTGCATTAAAAAAATTGAGTTTCCTACATCCCTGTTCAATGTAGAAGTTCAGCATTTTTGTATCGATTAAAGTGTTCAGGATTAAATCGTTGGTATCCGACCTTTTGGGACTTTTGATTGATACATCAATAATCAACTTTGACGTCTATGGTAGCAAAAGGTACTTAAGTAAAGTAAATTCGAAAACCTGAGATTACAACTCAAAACTAGTTCTTGTGAGAGACTTTAGAAATATAGTTTAAATCTTTAGGCTAAGCTAATGACTTAATCACTTAACCGAAGTGATCAAATTAAAAAAAAAAGTTTTCAAATTAAGAACATTTTAAAGCTTTCTCTTTTTCTTTTTTAGCAGTGAAATATTTACTGAAAATATTTTTGAAATATCTTCTAAATTAACTCTTGAAAATAAGCGGGGGAATTGAAAATTTTGCTAATAAATATATTTAAAATGTTTGTAAGTCTGCAGTGTTTGCATTAGATGCAATCTCCAAGTCAATTCGGTGAAACACGCCACGTTCATGCCCATCCATGCCCGTCCATGCCCAATTATGCCCGGCTGCTGCGTGAATATCAGGTCCAAACACCGTCAATGTTCTTCTGTGTTATGTTCATGCCCCTTTCATGCCCCTTTCATGCCCCTTCCATGCCCTTTCCATACCCATTCTATAACCCCATTCCATGGCCCATACATCCATACCCCGTCCATACCCAGACTATACCAATTCCATGCCCATTCCACGATCCGCCCATACATCCATACCTACTCCATGCCCATTCCACGATCCGCCCATACATCCATACCCCGTCTATGCCCCGTACCTGTCCCGTGCATGCCCCATCAATACCTATTCCATGCCCCGCCTAGGTCCCTTGCATGCCCTGTCGGTGCCCCTTCCATGCCCTATGCACCTCGGCTATGCCCGTCCATTTAGCGGTTCTCACAGCTGGGTTATTAGGGTCTAGGTTGTTTACAACTTACACACACCTCACACCTTACACCATGTGTTTAACACGCTAACATGTGCTGATTCTAATTAATAATTAATGAGACGCTATTGATTGCATGCGTGTGGCAGGTAGACAAAAGCACGCTAGTTTTGTTTTGTTTTTGTTTTGGCCGCGGGAAATAGATATAAAAAAGTTAATGAAATGACAGTTAATTTAATTGATTTGTAATTAAATATGTTTGGTTTGATTGCCGATAGCCTAAGACGGCAATTACAATAATTACATTAATTAGCCTTAACATAACACTAACCTTTATAATAATCAAACGAAGTGCATTATTGTTATCAAACATATACTAACATTCCCCTCAAATAATGTTTAACAGCTATTTCTTAACATTTTTACAAACTTAACCCAGGATTAACAGTAGGGCTGACCTGGCTATAGCAAAGGGCCCCGAACGTTATTGAACCATACATTTTGATCTTGTAATCATAGTGCATTTCAATGTCTAACCCACAACTTATGTTCTGCAAAAATCTAGCAGCCGATGTGTCCATCATGCTTTACCCACACCTTCCTTAACCATAAACTAGCCCTAGCCCTAACCTTGTCCCTAACCCTAGCCCTAGCCCTAACCCTAGCCCTAGCCCTAACCCCAACCCTAGCTCCAACCCTGCCCCTAACCTAAACACTCCGTTTTAACTAACATTACATAGAATCCTATAAAAAAGTAAATGTTTCCGAAAAAAACCAAACTACAAACCGTATCACGTACGTAACGTACATCTGAATTAACAGAAACCCAAAACAATCCATATCATCTTCTCTGAATATTTCTTTCAAGTTTCAACAAAACTCAATTTTTTAACTTCCCTTTAATAAAACTAGTTTATGTATTTCTCCCCGGTATGGAAACATTACCAAACACAAACCTCCAATAACTGATGTATTTGTTCAGTTGCCTCGATGATGGAACAATATTTGTATACATGTACGCCCATAACTACCCCGTGTTTTTGCAAACATGTTTAACAAGGGCAGACAAGCGATTGTTGTGATCGGCGTTATCTCCCTTCCTCAACAGAAACAAGTCGCCCAGCGAGCTGGAAAGAAAACTCAAGCGGAAGAAAGCGCTGAAAAAGAAGGGAAATAACTGGCTGAAACAGGTACGTTTTTAACTATGAATCATCTCCCTTTTATTTTCACCAGTTTCAGGGGTTAATTAATTACTTTTTTTTTAAATACTTGTCACATAATCTTGATGAGCATTAATTAACTTGTGTTAATAAAGATAACTTTAAAACTAAGCTCTAGTCCATAATAATGCAAATTAACACCACCGTATCATCTTCTTTTTTTTTTTCAATTATATATTTTAGCTACTTCTAAACTCATTAATTATTAAATGCTACTAGGACTAGAAATAGCTCGTATTTCTAGTTGTCATAAAAACACGTTTATTAAGAGGTATAAATATGTCTTTATTTGCTCCTTTAGAATTTGATGGGTTTATAGGCCTGCGTATAGCGTAGAAATCATGTGGTTTCACAAATCCTTATTTTTATATTTTACTTACATTGTTAATAAAAATCTGTAATGCTTTATAAGCCAAAATTAAGCCTTAGATTACACATTGCTGACATTTTCAGGGACTACTTTTTTATACAAAACAGTATTAAAAAAATAGCGAGCAGTGCAATGATTTGACTTGCTGATGCGTGCTAGTATTTGATTAATATTGGGGTTTTTAAGTTTCAATTACAGCTGATATTTTTAAAGTGAAAAACAAAATTCTTCAAGATTGCTGCAATTGATCTTTAGCACGGAACTTTGTTTTGTTTTAGTGATCAGGCGGAATGAAAACATTTGTTTCTTTATTCGAGTTGTAGTTTTTAACACACTCTCGGCACAGTTTTAGGCAAGAGGGCAAACTAACACTCGCAGCCCATTACAAAAGGACCTGGCCATTTTAAATGACGTAGCATCCGGTAACGTAGTGCACATTTTACGTCCGCACAGCATTTGAGACTGTATGTCATGAGGTACTTTCAGTGGTGTCTACTGATGCAGTAACTCAAAGGGTCACCTTTCTTCCCCCCCCCCCCCCCTAATTCCAGAATTTTAAACTGTAGCTGTGTTGTTGGACAAGATAAATCATTGTGCTGTTAATTTATTTTGCGATGCGTACATTGGGTGTCACCTTCTAAGTTGTGTCACCTTTTAATCGTGTCACCCTTTAAATCATGTCACCCTCTAACTGGTGTCACCCAGTGCGGACCCCGCCGCCTCCGCCTTGAGGTGCAACTAAGTATTGTGTAGATTATGTATGTACTTTGCTTTGTGTATGTTGTAACACACAAATGATATTCGAACAAGTTTGCTATTAGTGAAGGTTCTAGTGCCCAGTTGCCGTAAGTTAACGTATGTCAAGTGATGTATGTGTCATTGATGAACGACAGTATTGCTAACACCCGCCCCACCCTCAACTGTGCAGTGATGGTGCACTACTTGTGCAGCTTGCTCGCGACTGTACGCTAGGTTATGATGTACACTAGCTATGTGTACTGATGTTGTTTCACCTGTTATGGTTACAGTGTACACTAGCTATGTGTACTGATGTTGTTTCACCAGTTATGGTTACAGTGTACACTAGCTATGTGTACTGATGTTGTTTCACCAGTTATGGTTACAGTGTACACTAGCCAGGTGTACTGATGTTGTTTCACCTGTTATGGTTATAGTGTACACTAGTCAGGTGTACTGATGTTGTTTCGCCAATTATTTAACCCCCACGTTAAGACAACAATGTATTGACCCCCGTTCTTCTCAACCTTTTTTTTTATTTTAACTATACGTTTCACCTCACTATTTTGAACACAATATTTTGACCCCTATGTTTTGACCCCCTAAAGTCCCCCCCCCCCCCCCCATGTTTAGACCCCCCTATGCGTTGATCCCTAAATTTGACCCCTATGTTTCGACCCCTCTAAAGTCCCCTTCCCCCAATGTTTAGACCCCCCTATGCTTTGATCCCTAAATTTGACCCCTTTGTTTTGATCCCTAAATTTGACCCCTTTGTTTTGATCCCTAAATTTGACCCCTTTGTTTTGATCCCTAAATTTGACCCCTTTGTTAACTCTCGCAGGATGGCCTAGAAGCAGCCCTGGCTCAGATAGCCGACCCAGAAGGTTCCGATTCGGATCCGTTTTCTCGCAGAGATTCGGATCCAGAATTTAGGTAAGTGTTGTGTCTAGAATTTAGGTAAGTGTTGGGTCTAGAATTTAGATAAGTGTTGGATCTAAAATTTAGGTAAGTGTTGGGTCTAGAATTTAGGTATGTGTTAGGTCTAGAATTTAGGTAAGTGTTGGATCTAGAATTTAGGTAAGTGTTGGGTCTAGAATTTAGGTAAGTGTTGGGTCTAGAATTTAGGTAAGTGTTGGGTCTAGAATTTAGGTAAGTGTTGGGTCTAGAATTTAGGTAAGTGTTGGGTCTAGAATTTAGGTAAGTGTTGGATCTAGAATTTAAGTAAGAGTTGGGTCTAGAATTTAGGTAAGTGTTGGGTCTAGAATTTAGGTATGTGTTAGGTCTAGAATTTAGGTAAGTGTTGGGTCTAGAATTTAGGTAAGTGTTGGATCTAGAATTTAGGTAAGTGTTGGATCTAGAATTTAGGTAAGTGTTGGGTCTAGAATTTAGGTAAGTGTTGGATCTAAAATTTAGGTAAGTGTTGGGTCTAGAATTTAGGTAAGTGTTGGATCTAAAATTTAGGTAAGTGTTGGGTCTAGAATTTAGGTAAGTGTTGGATCTAGAATTTAGGTATGTGTTTATTTATTAAAATGTCCATTTTTAATTGAACATGTTGTATTAAAATTCTACAATGTGTATACAATGTCAATTTTTACGACTATTTCTTTCTTTAAAAAAAAAACCAAGGACCTTAACCCGACTATTGTTTAGAGTTGTCCCCCATGTTTACCTAACGCTGCCTGAGTTAATCCTGTTTCCAATCTCCAGGATGTCTAAAGATCCGTTTGGCCGCCGGGATTCTGGACTTGGAGATTTCGGAAGCGTGACCTTGGGCACGGTGACCTTGATTCGACAAGACTCCCAAGACAGCCCAACGGAAAGTTTAGCCGGAGGGTTGGGTCGGAATCCGGTCCGGCGTCAGTCGAGGGTAGGTGTGGGGACATTGGGTGTGATGGTTGTGGGAGTGGGTGTGGGACATGTGGGGAGTGTGAGGGTGTGATACGTGTTAAGTCTGTGTGAGGTATTTGTGGGGGTGTGGAATGTGTGAGGTATTTGTGGGGGTGTGGAATGTGTGAGGTATTTGTGGGGGTGTGGAATGTGTGAGGTATTTGTGGGTGTGTGGAATGTGTGAGGTATTTGTGGGGGTGTGGAATGTGTGAGGTATTGTGTGGGGGGAGGAATGTGTGAGGTATTTGTGGGGGTGTGGAATGTGTGATGTATTTGTGGGGTTGTGGAATGTGTGAGGTATTGGTGGGGGGTGGAATGTGTGAGGTATTTGTGGGGGAGGAGAATAGTATGTGATGAATATGTGCGGATGTGAAACTTGTGAGAACATTGCATAGTTTCTGCACAGGGTTGTTTTTATTAGAGTCACCATATTATATACAGCATGCAACCATCAACGTGCATGTAAAACACACATTCACATATACGCATAATGTATAAGCGACGTTCAAATGTATGCTCATGTAATAGACCGTTCTCTGACTTTGTCAAACAACAGCTTTAGAGACAAAGACAAAACTTAACATATTGTGTGTCACGGTCTGGGAAAATTAATTTTTTTTTTAATTTACAAAAAATAACTGAAGACAATTATTCAGTGTTTTGATCCGTCATGGAATAAATTCTAATTCCAAAGACTTATTTTTATTCAAGTTAAAAAATTCATCAAATAATGGATCAATCTAGTTTTGGTGAACAATGGGTACTATGAGCTCTATAGTGTGTTACGTTAAACAACACAAGCATTAACATGTGACACGGCATACCAACACACGCCGTGCAGTTACCAACACAGTCACTGTGGCAAATACTTGCATCTGGGGGGGGGGGGGGGGAGTTGGGGTAGCTGCGGGGGCGATATTGGTTGTAGCACCATGCCCCAACCATCCATCATATCCCACAAGCCCCTAGCACCAGCTGTGGTCACGGCCCTTAACTCCTCACGTTCCGCGAGTTATCCTATTTACGCAGGAGTTAGTCGACTTTTTTGTCTTGGGGTTTCGGGACCGGAGGCTGAAAAAAAATATTTCTTGTCTCCCTTATGTTAGGTCAAACATTAGTTGTCTCCCTTTATATTGGATCAAACACGAGTTGTCTCACTTGCAGGTGACCGGCAACGACAATTGTTTCACCCTGAAATTTGCTAGGGAAGTCGATCAGAAAGAAGATTTTGAAAACATAGCGGCTGTTCCTAATCAGACTTTAAGGTAAGTTCATTTTGTGAATAGTTATGTACATAAATTTATATATATATATATATATATATATATATATATATATATATATATATATATATATATATATATATATATATATATATATATATATATATATATATATATATATATATATATATATATATGTACATATATATATATATAATTTTTTTTAATTCATTTAATTTATAGTTACAGCCTTTAATTTAATTTTAGAATCAGACAAGAGGTGGGGATGCGGGGGGGGGGGGGGGGGGGGTTGACCGTTGAATCTCTCCGGCTCACGTTAAAATTAATTAGCATTCACAGGGATGTCAAATACATGTAAACGAAGCGATTATAATGTAATGTCATACTGTAAATATGCCAGTATGTCTCTATATACCCATCTAGACTGATCTATGACAACTGAAAATAAATGACAAATCCTACATTTAGGACTAAATTGAGCGTTCATTTGTAGGAATGACAAACACAATTGGAATATAGTGATGTCCGGGCTTCTAATTGACTCAGCTTATCTATATCAATACTTAATTAACACCCAAACATCTTGTAAAAAAATTAAATATCATCAGCTGTTACTATTTAAACATTAAAACTCGACTGGAAAAAAAAATGTTAAAAAATTATTTGTTTCGCCCCGGTAAACTGATTCAACTGTACATGTTTTTATTTCGTCGTATTTCATATCGATCTTACTTTTGCATGGTTCGTTTCCTTTCGCCAGAACACCTCACATTCTTAATTTAAAAGGAAAAAAAAATTAGCATTTTAATTCTCCTAAAACAGCTTTCATCGAACCGGCAGATTTCCATTTTAACTCAACACATAAACAAAGATGGCGCGGCGTGTAGTTGTTCCCTACGACAGTCTCGTGTCTCTGTCATCTGACCAGCGGGAAATAAATTTGGTGATTTTTTTTTTAAAATTGTGTTTCAAACAAACACAATGTTTTGTGGGGAGCATGGCCAGACGACAGGTGAATAAATGTGTACTCTTAGCCGTGGTTTCGCATAATTCCTGTTGGTTTATTTCTTTTAGAAATAGTTTCGCATAATTTCTATTGGTTTATTTCTTTTAGACACAGTTTCGCATAATTTCAGTTTATGTATTGCAGACGCAGTTTCGTATAACTGGTTAATTTCTTGTTAAGTTGTAGACAAAGTTTTGTTTCATTTCAATTGTTTTGAACAACGATTCGCATAAGTTTGCATATTCAATAAGTTTGAAGGTTATATGTTTTTTTTTTTTTTTTTTTTTTTTTTTGTAAACAAAATATCAGTTTTAATTTACATAGGCCAGTGGTTGTTAACCTGTTTGGAGGTACCGAACCCCATCAGCTTCATAATCGCATTCACCGAACCCTCCGTAAAAGGAAAACTAAAATCAGATTTTTTTTAAAATTCAAAACATAGGTAGACCTACATACTTTTACTGGTGCACAAAATGAACCATGCATCAAAATCACTGTATTCAAACAACAAAACCGTTAAAATACAAGTATCACACCAAAACAAAAACATAAGAATGAATGTTTACAGCAAATCAGTGTGACTTCTGCTGTTGCCTTTCAGACACGTTCAGAAATGCACTGTTTCACCATGCATTGAGCGAACTTTGTGTTCTTGTATTTACCATCTCCATGCAGCTTAAGGAAGTGTTCTCTAAAGTTTGCCGGTGCTAGACTAGAATTGCTCAACTAGCAAATCTGCTGTTAGTACTCTCCCATCAAGTTCCGTTATCCACGTGAATCAATATTGTACTTATTCGCCCAACCGCTTCCTATTTTTGCTTGACATTGTATGAAAAGGTTAAAATATTAAGTAAGAAACCACACGACGTACCATTACGACAGTCACAAGTTGACTACTGGACCATGATATAGAAATAAAAAGTATGTGCGTCACATTAGAAGCTTTATAATACTGAAAGACCAGAACATTTACGTTTTTTGCAACATACATAAAATTTCGAATAACCGATAACCGTTTAACCGATGACGGAATAACCATCGCCACTTTCTGCATCTAACCGATACATCAGTGTCTACTCATATTGATTTGAACGCAGTGACCCCTCCCCCCCTTCCCCCCCCCCCCCCCCTACCAGTATGTTTACCACTTTGTCCGTGCAGTTAATTGATATCTGCCTTCAACGTCTGTTGATAACCCAATCAACGGAGATTGTAGCGACAAACAGTTCGGATCCGTCTTGCCGTTGGACAAGGTTGGGTACGCCAATATTACGAGTTACTCTGGTTGACTTGAAGATTTCTTTGGTCCATAATAAATTCCTTGAACCAAGATACCTGGGCCTTGCTTGAAATACGACTAACAATTCTTGCTTAAATCTAGTTAATTACCGTTTTCTTACATATAGTCTATCACCATTGTATCATATTTTTCCATTTGCTTACACTGTGTCTATTGTTTATCATCTATTTACATCGTGTCTTTTACTAATTGCGTACATCTTGTCTATTAACATCTGCTTACATTACATCTAGTCTTTACCATCTGCTTACATCAGTTATCCGTTGCTTACACCTTGGCTATTAGGCGGATATTATATCAAGTATCTTCTATATTACTTACATATCGTAACATTCACATTACACATATCATTACATGCTTGCCGACAAAATCTTACGTTTGTAATTACATATCTTAATTGCTCGGGTCGGAGTTCTTGCATTCTGCTTTTTCCACCATTGAATAGGAATCTAATGCTAATATACTTGACCCCCGAACTTGACCCTTGACTCTAGGGAGGTCGTGGCGTTTGGGAGCAAAATGTTTGTAAATTGAGAGAGTCGGGAACTTTCAGAATTGAAAATTGTTTTATTGAAATTCGTTAAATCGGAAATCAAAAGGCCGTCGACACTTGTGTTAGCAATGATTTTTACAGGCCTCGTTTTAAAAATTCGGACACGTGAAAATTGTATCTGTCACTTAAACCACCGACTAAATGATGTCTACAGACGTCTACATGGTCTGGTGAGCTGTGGTTCACGCTAAATGTTTACAATCGAAGAGCCGGGTTTAGTGACGGCTATTAGGGGCAGATAATTTATTTTGAAACGATTTTAAACTTAGGGGAGGTAACTAACAGGAGGCTGCTTTCACGGATGGGGGATGGGGAGGAGGGGGGGGGGGGGGGGGTATCGTCCTTAACGAGCTACAGATAGTGTTTTAAAGCAAATATATTCAGGTGGCAGCATTGGTAGGTACTGTCGAATTCACAAATTATGAATTACTGAAAAGTAGAAAATAAAACAACTAAATAGCGGCGTATAATACGCCGCGGGTCGTCTCGTATATATATATATATATATATATATATATATATATATATATATATATATATATAATCTGGGGTGTGTTCAAAGGTTCGTTATCCTTTGGATAACATGGGTTGTCTAGTATCCACGCAAGTTATAGTAATAATTTGTTACTGTACAAAGCGCTAGTAAAAGAATATAAGAAAGTTTCTCGAGGATAATACATCAGCCAATACGACTGTCAAAAATTGATCTTTTACTTATACTTTATTCTTGCTGTTAATGTGCAGAGGTGTGTGTATGCGGGGGGGGGGGGGGGGGGGGGGGGGTAAGATGTGCTATTTTTTTGTGCTTTTCCGTTGGATTACACGGATGCCCAATGCCTATAATATTTTGGAGAAAACAATTTTTATTTTAAATTTTCTTTTTCTTTTGATTTCTTTTTTTTTTTTTTTTTTTTTTTTTTTTTTTTTTTTTTGGAGAAAACAAATTAACCTCAATACCTCTCCCTGCATCCAGATCAGTTTAAACAAAGTAAATTTTCATCAGTTAATACTTTAAGAGTTAAAAACTATTAGCGTTTTAAAATATAAACTAGAGCCAAAAAAATATTCTATTATCTAACAAATAAAACAGAAGGTCGGGCAACGTTTTAATATGCATATTAGTTAAATAACAAATAAGCATTCTTCTTTTGATTGTATTACAATGATATATCTCTGTATGCTTTTACCACTCATGGAATAATAGATATAGGTTATTTCCCCTGATAAAATCAAGTTTATAAATAGAAAGCTAAATAAGGTAATATTGAATAGTCAACAACAAATGAAAAGCATCACACATGTATTGTCTGAACTAGCTGAAAAAAAAACAAGCCTAAAAAGTGAAATGCATAAAACAAATAACTGGCAATGAGCTATGAGAAACATTCTTACAGAATAGAATAAAACCAAATGAAAACAACCTTAGCATAATTTACGTATTTGATTAATCTGGTCTAAATGTGTTTTATGGCTAACTATATGTGCATTATGTACCTGCCTATATAGGCTAACATTCAAATACCTGGTCTAAATTAGCGTTGTGTACTAGCCTATATGGCTAATTAGAACCTAGTATATATGTGCCTAATGCTCTAGCCTATATAGCTAATTAGAACCTGGTCTATATGTGCCTTATGTCCTAGCCTATATAGCTAATTAGAACCTGGTCTATATGTGCCTTATGTCCTAGCCTATATAGCTAATTAGAACCTGGTCTATATGTGCCTTATGTCTTAGCCTACATGATCTAACCAGTAACCGATTCACAGCAATAAATATACGCGACACACGACACATTAACTTCTGGCGGCCGAGCGACACACGACACAGTAACTTCTGACCGTACGACACACTACACTGGCCGTACGACACAAGACACGGTAATTTCTGGCCGAGCGACACACGACACTGGCCGTACGACACACGACACGGTATTTCTTGCCGTGCGACACACGACACATTAACCTCTGGCCGTACGACACACGACACATTAACCTCTGACCGTGCGACACACGACACATTAACCTCTGCTCGTACGACACACGACACAGTAATTTCTGGCCGAACACACTGTAACAAAAAAGGAATGCAAAGAAGGCGTGCTAGCACACAGCTGAGCTACAATAATTACGTATTGTTTTTTGTTTTTTTTGTTGTTTTTT